TCCTGTGATTGGTCAGAATAAAAACATGTCGGATGCGCAGTACGGATCGGCGCGAACGTGAAACAAAAGAGCGAGTGCCACTACTGGTTATACTGTGGTTATATTGTGGTGCAGACTGCACGCAGCAAGCGGCAAGCGTCGAGCAGCAGCCAATCAACGAAGAGATCTTTCGGAAGCGTCAGCAGTGGCGTAGAAAATATCTCTTCGTTGATTGGCTGCTGCTCGACGCTTGCCGCTTGCTGCGTGCAGTCTGCACTAGGCTTTATGCGCACAGGGTCAATTAGCGCCGCGCCGAGTTTGCTCATCTATACCAATCTATACTCGCTATGTTTATGACTATAGCTGTCGCTCAGCATTGTGTAGGGGCCTTTACTTCTGTAGATTGTTGTTTAGCGTTGTGGTTCGGTTCATTGTCGAAAACTTAATTCTGTAATTTTGCGAGAGGTCCAGTGAACGAACTAATCCGCCAAGATGACTATGGCAATGTTGCAACGACGCGCCAATGTAAATATATACGAGAATTCATTATTAACTGATTGTAATCGCGTTATTCACCTAACATAACCTAACTTCTTGCATTATGTTTGATAAACAAAAATTTTATTGTAGGTAAGGCTACCACCCGAAGTAAACAGAGTATTGTATATAAGGAACTTGCCATATAAAATTACTGCTGAAGAAATGTACGATATATTTGGCAAGTATGGAGCCATCAGACAAATCCGAGTGTAAATATATTTTGATTTGGTCAAAATGAGGTAAGTCTAATGAGAAGTTATTTGAAGTTATGATTTTTGATTCAGAGGTAACACGGCAGAGACTAGAGGCACAGCATTCGTCGTGTACGAAGACATATTCGATGCAAAGAATGCTTGCGACCATTTGAGCGGTTTTAATGTGTGTAATCGTTATTTGGTAGTTTTATATTATCAAAGTAATAAAGCGTTTAAGAGAATCGACGTTGACAAAAAGATGGAAGATTTAGATAAATTGAAGACGAAGTATAATCTAAATGACGAGAAAAAATAATTGATCAAATATTTGCATAGGGGATACAAATGTATGATTCTTACAAAATATTTATTAAGATATAACTACACTCACATTGATTAATTTGTTAATTTTTATCTGTGACTTATCAATTAGTTGTATGAGAGCATAGGATATAGAGAGGCGTAGGAAAAGACGTCAACTTTGAATAATGCGATAAAGCTTGTATTATAAAATAATAAATAAAATTGTATATAATTTTTGATAGTTTTGGTGTATTTTTATTTTTTCTGATTCAATCTTTATATTGGTTTACAAATATTTCATTAATATTTAACTTGGCAATACTTTCGTTGTTTATATGATCCTTGCAACGTATAATGTAGGAAAGTTGTATATTGAACTTCTCGAAAAACGTAGAAAAATCTGAGTGGAAAAATGTCGGCGCATTAAAAGAACGTAATTAATACTACTTTCACAGTTAGTTACAAAGTGACAATAGTGACATTCCTACGCTTTCAGGGACTCGAGAAAATATGATATGAGCTATAATTTATAGCGTAGTCTAAAGCATCGCTCACACTGTTGCAAGCGATATCGTAGCTAGATGTATGTTATGCTCGATGTAATGCTACTTTCAGTCTATAGCTTAATGTACTCTTTGCTACTAGAAACATTCTATTTTGTAGCCAATAAATACGTTTAAAGAATTTGTGCGAGTTGATAAATTATGCATTATACATTGTACAATCGTTCGTTGTCGAACAAACTTTTTAGCGTTTTGATTTTGTATAAAATAGAATGTTTCTAATAGTAAAATCACATTATAAATTAGACTTTAGGCTAAAGCCCGCTGCAGACGATTTTTCCTGCTGGATTGCTTGCGATTTAGTAAATTACTAGGAATCCTGAGTGCTGAGTGGTGCAACGATAGTAATTTATTAGATTGCAAGCAATCCAGCAGGAAAAATAGCATCGTCTGCAGCGGGCTTAATATTACATTTGTCATATGACACATTTTTCAAGCGTGTTGATTGGTTGCAGAATAGAAAAGTTCTTGGATCTCTAAATCTAGTCGAACAACAAGTATAGAAATCAACTTGATTTTGAGCAATTTTTGACATCGAAAGCAATTAAATTTCAAATCATTTTCGACATTGAAATCAGTGTGAATTCGATATATGTATATAGTGCAGATGTTCATACCCATTGAGAAATGATTAGTTGAAAAAATATCAAATCGGCATTAAATCACGTCTATGCATTTACGTCGATTTGGCATCGATTCGACATCTTTTCAACCATCATTAATTTCTCATTGGCCACGTTCAGCAAGCACAACTATTGAGTGAGCGCTCAATGATTTCTTAATATGATTGGCTGGATCTAAAAGTATTAACCAATCATACCCAAGTAGCACATATACGTTTCAAAAATGTTTTAGAAGCGTTTATTCGAAACGTTTTATAACCAATTTTTAGAAACGTTTCTCATGAGTTAAAATGTCCATTCGAAAAAACGTTCGATGAAACGTTTCTTTTCCGATAAAATAACGTTTAAGAAACCATTATAGAAACGTTTTTTAAAGCTAAAGGGAAACTTTTTAATTCCTACTTCTTTAGAATTTCTGTTGTAAACGTCTTTTCATCATGTTTATAACGCTTTTGAGACATACCCCAGGTAGCACGTTTTATATATGATCCCTAAACGTATTTAATGTTTAATAAATGTTTAGGAAACGGATAAAAACCAACATGTGCTACATATGGGGCGTGTTGTGTGAGAAATGTTTTAGAAGCTTTATACGTAACATTCTTTTGCTGAATAATTGGAAAATACGCTTTATAGTATATTTTTCAGTATTATTCATCAGGATAGTTATATTTATAAAACTTCCTCAGCTTCCTCTCCATTAATAAAGTACAGCAATTTACCATAAGGAAATTACCATTAAAAAAATGAATAAAGTGATGTACACATTATAACGTGTTATACATATATATTTTTGTCATACTCGTATTTAAAAAAATTTTTTTGTCATTTTTTCATATATATTTTTTTCAATTATTTACTATAAGTATATAAACCTATCCAGGTAGTACGTGATGGTTCATATTATACGTTTCATATATGTTTTTTAAACATATCTAATGTTTAGTAAACGTTTATGAAACGTATAAAAATCAATACGTGCTACACAAAATAAATATTTTATAAATAGGTTGAAATTTTTATTTTAATAGTTTTTCGATAATGCTAAAGGAGGCACAAAAAATTTGCTTCTATATGAAATCTAGGAAGAAAAGAAGAAGCCTGAAGTGTAAAATACACCCACATGCGCATATTGAAAGATTGACTGTAGAGACGTAAAAAATACGTTTCTTAAATCATGGTTTCAAAAACGTTTCCGTTTAAACGTTTCTCAATGGTTCTTTACGGTTATGAAACTATATATAGCGAGCTGCTTTCGATCTGTATACGTAAGCCATTTAATTTGTATATTATAATACACAAATGTTTCCGCGAACTAACAGTTTTCCCATACAGCACAGATGGTTGCAATTACATTGCAGAAACGTTGCAATCTTGCAGAGACATTGCAGGGATATAAAATTGCAAACTTTCGATAACAATATTGCAGTAATGTTTCAAAAATAATGAAAATACTATATTTTCTATTTAAAAAATATTTCTAATTACAAGAATTTTATAATGTTATTTTCGTTGATACTATAAATAATGCGCGAATTATGAAGTACTTGATCAGTACGGTGTTGCTCGCAATCTCCATCTATTGCGAAGCAACATAATCTCCTTAGGTTGCTTCGCAATAGCTTGCTATGTATTGAAAAAGGCCCGGATGTATATGTAATTAGTAAATTCTCTGCCTATGTACAACAACAACAACAAATTATTCCAAAAATATTGCACTGCACCATTGCTATAATGTTGCGCTGCAATCTCTCTAAGGGCGGACATTTCAACGTTGCTGCAATCCTCCAGAAACGTTACAGCAATGTTGCGCAACGTTGCTGCAATATTGCAATCTTGCAATGTAACATTTCTGCAATCTTCCTGCAATCTTTCTGTGCTGTGTGGGGAGATCGATGTAGCTGCCCTCTTGTGCCGTTCAGTGAACTAGAGTTGGAGTCGGTAATCCATCCTCTCGTGGTAAAAGGCTGGTACTGGAAATATGATTCACCCTGTTTCATAAATGTTTTCCTATTGGAGCATTTACGATTATGACTTCTGTGATACTACATCATGATGTACCATGATGCACCTGTTGTTGCCCACACAACATTTATGTCAGAAAGATCTCCTTTAGATATATTTTTATAAATAACTTTTTGAGTAATGAAAAAGATATCTACCAGATAAATGTATTAAGATGTCTGTTATAAGAGGTCTAAAAGGCATCTTGTTTGAGAGATTTCTTATATAAGATATCTGAAACATATTTGAAGGAAATTTAATAAATCTCTTCAAATCAATATTAAAATGCCATGTTAAAAATGATTTCTGTAAGATATCTTTCAAAAACTATTTATGATATCTTATTTATGATATCTACCATATACCCAACGAGAAATGATTCGTCGATCGATGTCGAAACGATGTCGATTCGACATCGGCGAATTATTTCTCACTGGATAATGTTAATATTGGAAACCTGTCAAAGTTTCCGCTAGAGGGACGCGCGGCAAAAGCCCTTTCTCGTAAGGAAAAAACCGCACGTGGTATTATGAATTGATACACTCGCATGAAAGTTTTTTTATCTTTCCTCTAATGTTGAAGTGAGTTACTTTACTATACCTACACTTGTATGATTTTTCTTCATACTTTTTCTATCCTTTACATTGTCAAAAATTTCTTTTGAATTGTTTGTTAAATATTTCTCATCAAAGTCTTTGCGTTTTAAATATCTTAGAATATATGTCTTATTGACATTATAAACATGAACTCTTAAAGATGTCTATTTGAGATGCAATATTGATATTACAGAATATTAAAAAAAATTTTTCCGATAACTTTTAAATGAGAACAAAAGAGAAATATCACTTATAGTTGCCAGTGATTAAAAATTAAACAGGTGAGCTTTTTATCAACCCAAATGGCAAATTTTATTAAATTAGTTACAATGTTTCGACCTTACTTCAGGTCCTTTTTAAGTAACAGTACTGCAAATCAACAGAATATAAGAGATTAAAATTATTAATTAGTCATCTAGTAAAAAGAAAAGAAAAGAAATTAACGTACCAAAAAAATTTTTTTTCCATAGGCAAGCGAGTCATCGTTATATTGATATGCAGGGTGAGTTTTTTAAATTTAAGACTGCAAATTATCTGAAAAAATAAGCATTGTACGAAAAAATGTTCTAAATAAACCCTCAATATTTTCGAGGGGGCAATTTCATCCCGCAAAAGTTGGAAAATTTTTGTGTATTTTAACATCCTCAAAATTTACATACACAAAAATTTTTAATAATTAGAGCACTATTGCAACAGCATATTCCTGAGACCAAATCAAGTAAAAAAGTCCTATACTACTTTTTCCTCCGACAAACAGTTGTCGAGATATTATAAGTTAAACATTGAAAAATTTATAAATTTTCTCTTGACTATATCAAAAAGTATTAGGCAAATCAAGAAATGTTTCAGACAAAAGTTGTTCATATTAATAGGGTTTATTTGGAACATTTATTTCGTACAATGCTTAGTTTTCCAGATAATTTGCAGCCTCAATTTAAAAAACTCATCCTGTATAATAGAGTCAAAGAATAAAAACACATTTGAACATTATGGAGGTTCGATTCCACCTGATTCGTAGGTAATGTTATAAAACAACAAACAAGGTGATGTTACGACCTACATGGATTTGATTACATAGTCATACATTACATTAAAATTTTTTGTGTTTGTAAAATAATGGTGTTATTAGTTATTTTGATAAAAATATTTTAGCGATTTCTCGTTTCTTCGTTAGACGCTCACTATGTAGAATAGTTGGTATCGACCAATTAAACTCATGGTCATGTAATACGTGATTGCTAACGATGGAATTGCAGCTTTCGTGTTTCTTAATGTCGTTTTTATGGGCATTAATGCGAGTCTGTAAGTGTCGTTTGGTTTGCCGAATATAAGAAGCTTCAAAATTATTACATTTGATTATTACTTCTGTTTTTGTCCCAATTTAATTGGTCTTTGCCTCTTTTAATTAGTCTATCGAGTCTTTTAGGGACTGTAAAAATAGTGTCCAAACCTATC